GGATCTCTGCCACACACGCTGCGCAGAGGTAGGATCTCTTCGCAGTGCCTTACATCAACGACGGATCTCTGCCACACACGCTGCGCAGAGGTAGGATCTCTTCGCAGTGCCTTACATCAACGAAGGATCTCTGCCACACACGCTGCGCAGATGTAGGATCTCTTCGCAGTGCCTTACATCAACGAAGGATCTCTGCCACACACGTTGCGCAGAGGTAGGATCTCTGCGCAGTGCCCCACATCAACGAAGGATCTCTGCCACACACGCTGCGCAGAGGTAGGATCTCTTCGCAGTGCCTTACATCAACGAAGGATCTCTGCCACACACGCTGCGCAGAGGTAGGATCTCTTTACAGCGCGCGAAATATTTCCTCCGTACAAGGAGTGTCATGGCCGGCCAAGCCTCTCGAGAAGAATTGTTTCATCTTCCGTGTCTGAGCTTCGATTTCATCCTGAATTATCGTGCCAGTTATTACACTGTACTTAAGCCTCCAAATACTGTATTATATAAATGCAATAACAGTGAATGAGAATTGAATGTTTCCTTATACAATTTCATTAATTTATCTCTAAACGATATGTTTTTACATCTATAATGAAGTATAATTTTAATATGAGGTACTCAATCGTCTATAAGATAAGGTACTCGCTCGTCTATAAGATTAGGTACTCACTAGTCAACAATTGCTATCAACGGCGTCCAGAGGCCGCCTTTTCATAAATAGTTACGAGTTTGTAACTCAGCCGCTACCTGTGTACTTACGGCGTAAGTGCACAGGTGTGTGTACTTACAGCGTAAGTACACAGGTGTACCTACGCTGCGTGTAAGGCCGCTATCGTGTACTTAGGCCGCTGCGTGTTCGTAAGCGAGTTTTGATAGTGCGGCCTAGGTTTTCTCAGGTGTTTGCATATAGAGCGGCGCAGGCGCGTACCAAAGCAGCAGCCGATTCCAGTTTCGGCAGTGCGATGTCAAGGCTCCTCTTCACCTGACCTCAGCCTTGGGATGTGCTGATCTTTTAATCCTTATTTGACGAATGTCGCTCACCACGATGGATGGTGTAAATGTTTCAAGAAACCCGATGCTTATTCTCATCACCGATGCCCATTGCAAACTTTCTATTGGAGGTCGATCATCCTTGTTTTGAGTTTGGCGGAAAATATTCAACCTTATGAAGGAGCATTAATTTAGCCTTTAGGTTTAGGAAAATTATTGTAATATAATTTTTTCCTTAATACCAATAATTTCACTCGTTTTCATTGATAGACATTAATATAGAGCTTTTGATTTTCGGACACAACGTAAAATTCATACAACCAAGTCTGTGAACTATAGGAATTGAACGAGTTACCGATCGAGAAATTAGCGAATTGTTTGACAGCTGCGAAAGTGCAATCTGACCCGACTAAATGTTATCATACCACGGCCAAGCGAATAAGCAAATAACCTCGCTTTTAATGTTAGGCAGGTTAATGACTGTAGGCTGGTCACCAGTCTCCAGGGTTTTACTTTTTTCGGCAGGACGGTTCTTTTAGCTTCCATACTTTGAAAAGAGGACAATAAAGAAAGAATATTTTAAAAATATTGAACTTTTGAGAAAAACAGGTTAAAATCATTGAGAAATTATGGATATATTCATATTTTTGATGAAACATTCCTGACTCAACGTTATTTCTGTCGTGGATGATGTTAGTGATTTGTCCATGATGCACGACTCGTGCAATTTTAATAGTGCAAGACAATGTAACGTTTACACAATCAGCAGCTAGCAACTAAACGCTTTTGTGTTATGCAAGGAGGCCTACAGTCATGTGAGTATAACATTCATGTCCGTCCTTCTGCCCTTCTTCACCAGGAATGCACGCTCATGCAGGTCCTGGGGCGAGGTCATCTTAACAATTAACTAATCGTATTCGTATGTCTGCACTACATGATTGACATCTTATAAATATTACGTATTACATTTATTTCTAGAACAATTAATCCTGAACGTAAAATTCAATTATCTCATTACCACATAATTGGCATATTTAATAATATAAAAATTTTATTCTGTTGATTCAAATGCACGTTACCATAATTGGTCATTTCATAAACTTTATAACGTGTATATTGACAATCAAATAAGTCGTGAAAACACCATATTGTCCGACAAGTAAAAACTGTTAATAATAATAATAATAATATAATATTGGTTTCAGCGTTTATTAGGCCGTAGGCCGGTCGCTGATTCTTAACATCTCAGAGCATTCATAGCACATGAATGAACACATGAATGAACTAAATTTATTCCTATGTCTGGTCAGAAATTTATTTCATGTCTGACCGGAGTATAAAATTTTATTGTGAGGGGCAGTAAGACCAAAATCGTAATTTTAATGGAACATTTTTGCCCGTAGCGATAGATGTAAAGTTTCAGTTCACTGGAAGTATAAGCAAGCTCATATAGTAGAACAATTAGTTTGTTCAAAAAGGTTACGTTGATAATCTTATCAGGTGTAAATTCGAATAGGCTGAATCAAGCGATTAGATCCACGAATGTCCAAATGTTAAATTTCATTTGAATTACCCCGACTCATTGACACATAAAAAAAAATTAGAATGGCTCTTTGCAATACGCCGACAGCAAATGCTATAGTTGTACGCAACGTTCAGGAGTGTTCTACAGATTGCATTTTCAAACAGTTTTTCGTATTTTTACTTCAAAAACTTTGCTTGTTATAAAAAATTAAGTGACGATTTCTTAACACCTCACTATCAGCAATTTTCCAGTGACGAATTTTGAATGCCTTACTACACGCAATTTTCTTCAAGAATTGTATTATGTATTGTACTATGTATATATATTTCTATTGTAACTTATGTCTTCAAGTGCAGAGACGCCCAGTGGCTTAAAGCTCCTAGTACCATTATCAAAGCCGTGAGTTGTTGGTTCAAAACCTAACTAGCTGCGAGAATTCTGAGACGACAAGAATCGGCAAAAGGCCATGTTTGGCCTAATGAACGCTGACTCTATTACTATGTTGTCCAAATTTTATTCTGTTGATTCAAATGCACGTTACCATAATTGGTCATTTCATAAACTTTATAACGTGTATATTGACAATCAAATAAGTCGTGAAAATACCATATGTCCATATTGTCCGACAAGTAAAAACGGTTATGTAGCTTTTATAATTTTTTACGTAAGTTCTTATCACTCTGCACATTTGCAGCAAACAACGCTCTTTGGTTTTTATGGGCTGTTAGTTGAAAAAAAAATATGATGACTTTCCTGATTAAGGTATTGTTTTAAAGTCCATTGTTAAATCGAAAATAACGGTACCTTCTTTAATTTAGACGCTAATTCGTCTATTATTTTTCTAATTCGTCTATTACTTGAAAATCAAAACAAATCCTGTGGGCTGCGTGAGTCAGCGTGACTGATACGATTCATACGAAATTACGGATACGTGTAGAAGCAGTATTAGTTATGGTGTTATTGGTGTAGTAGTGTAGGTATTCAGAGCCTCAGAGGAATTCAGTTGCGTTCACGGCGAAAGCGTGTGTTAATTTCGTTCTCCCAATGTGACCGGTTAATTTTTGTGAGCTAAAGTTTCTTAGTATCTACTTCTAAATTCTCATGAATGCCTTAAATGGTATCTTGACGTTTGTTCTTATTGACGTTTGCGTTTGTTCTTTCATAAACTCACAAGTCACATTGTGTCTGTCACAACCACATGAAATGGACGTTCACGTTGGACGGTTCACGGTTGGACTCGTCTTATTAGTTTTTTGATTTCCAAGTTCCACCATCTGAGTTCTGACCATCACTGTGCATTGTGCAACTAGGCCTATGCCCTATTGGTATTTGGTACTGTGGTACTACAGTGGTAGAGCTCTGAAATTTATAGAGCATGCTCATTGCTCAGCCTCAAAGAACTGTTGGGTAGCTTGTGTTCTTACCATCTGTAACCATCAAATGGGGCTGTAACCATCAATCTGTACCCATCAATCTGTAGCAGTAAGCCAGTAATCATCTGTAAGACTGTAACCATCAATCATCACTCATCAGCAGCTAAACTAATCAAAATATTGCAAACTAAAAATAGGTAGGGTAAACGCGGTATATTCCGACATCGTAGGTAATTCCGTCACTTCTCTAGTTTTTCCTTTATATTAAGCTTTGTTTTAGTTCCATGCGTTCATTGATGGTTGAAATGGTGACGTCATACATCTGTCTCTTATACACATCTAGATGTGTATAAGAGACAGGAATTGCATTGAGTTCGATGTTTATT